GCTGCTATTCCTTGTATATTGATTCACTATTAATAGGCTTCCTAGTATAGCTTTTTTGGTTTATGTATATATATAGCTTGCTGACCTCATTGCAATTTGTGTACAAAAGTCAAACAATTGTAATACACAAAGTATTTTTCTTACAGCAGAACATCTGTCCTTCTTTATCATTTGTTCTTCTTTAATTAGTCCTGAGGCATTGAGAAGAATGAAAAGGTAATTATTTTACGCTTTAATGTAGTGCTCAGCTGGAATTTACCTTCTGTATGTATACTTGTGTATATTCTATTTGCCGTTTGAAGATTGAGTATTCAATATTATCTGATAACATATAATTTTGGGATCATAGTTTTCATTAAATGTGATTTTTTATGATATCTTCAACTGTCTTATGGCGGAGAAGGATCAAATTTAAGATATCTTGGAATACGATTATCCCCTTTTTACATGATTTCTTCCTATTATAGTGGCCCATTCAGGTTTTTGAAAAGGATTAAGAAACACCAATTGACCTTTTTTGGAGCATTTTGATTCTAGGAATTAGGGAAATCAGCTTATTTTTTCACTTCAGGTACATTTTTTCCATTAGTATGCAGAAATTTTAAGACCTATCTCAAGCAGGTTTGTTTTATCTATTGCTTGAAACTATTCTTTGTGATTCTCGGGAAAGAATAGGTAGTTTGATGTTAAAAAGTGAATATTTAGAGAGAACTTACTAATGAGGGATTATTGAAGATTTCTAGCTGCAAAGGTTTGGTGTTTTTGTTAATAATAATTCAAAGTTTTGAATTGGGTTTTTTCGTTTGTGAATTGATTAAAATTGTGAGTTTGCAGTTACTGCTATGGAAAGTGAGAGGACAACTTTGCAGTATTTACGATTGGATGGAGAGAAAAGCTCTATTGAATTTGATGTAAGCAAAAACTTGATTTTCCTGCTATGATTTTTTAGAGGAACATGAAGTTTTGACCCCATCATTTCATTTAATTTAAAATTTTGAGATTCAGAATCAAGTTTTCTTTTAACTAATAGGATTGGTATTTGGTTTATATTAATTATCGTTAATATTTGAATTTAGGGGTTAAAGGTGAATCTAATTATGACGGACTATTCAATGTCAAAGATGACGGAATATGAACTTCTCGAAAAGATCAAGGTTAGTGATTTTGGTATTTTTAATTCAAAAAGGAAGGTTTTAGATTTTTCCCTAATACTTGTTATGATTTTTAGCTATTCTTGATTGATGATGTTGAAAAATGAAGTTTGTTAATGTTTGTCTTCTTTACCTTATTCAATCAGAACTCATTGAAGTTGCGGAAAATACATGTGATGATTTTGTAGCCCGATTGACTGGTAAACTAATTGTACGTGATTTTATTTTTTTTTTTTATCGATTGGAGTTGGAATTTACCTTTTATTTTGTCTGTTGAGAACACAGTGAAAATGAGGAAATTTTCCTTTGAAACTATAAAATTCTGAATGTATTGGCTTTTATTAAATGCTTCTGAGGAAATTGTGAAGTTAGTATTAACGGTCAATGATCGGCTAGACTCGCACTAGCCGAAACTACTCAAACTATAATTGAGGTAGCATTGAAGAAAAATAATGTGATTCCAATAGTTATTTGATTTTATAGCAAAAAATCTCTTAACAAAATATGTGATTCTAATTTTGTATTGAAATTCGATTTCTTAGGTGAACAGCAAAAC